CATGACTAGATATTAATTTAATCACATGAATATTTATTTTTAATTTACAAATTATTTACCCAATAAAAGCTATTAAAATAACTATTCATATTTTTTTATGGTTTAATTTCCAGGATCCTATCAAGTTATTTTAAAACTGAACAATACCATTTTTATTTTAAAAGCGAAATATTTGATTATCTTGCATAAAAATAAAAACTAAAACATATTAGATCATTGTATCTGCAATATACTGCCCCTTCTAGACATATCTACCCTTAAAAGAGAAAAATATTTAAGCTTAGATTCAATTTTGAGTACAGATTCATCGTTGACTTTAATGCCAAACATACTCACTGGGGTCTAGATCTAGATAAAAGACTACAAAAGCAAAACAGCTTTTAGAAATAACCAAACAACTAAAATATACTGGGAAACATATTAAAAGAAAGCCTGAAGGTTTTTTGATTATTAAAAATTCTTAATCCTTTCAATATTTAATAACCCCACTATTTTACATTTACCCCTTCATTCTCAAGTACAGTAGGCAACTTTTGTTGCAGTTTATGCATAAAACAATCAAAAATTAATATTCATGTGATCTTTTTTACGCCAAACTACATCTACGTCTGATTAAAAAATTTCGAAACTCCTTTTTTTAAAGCTATACCTCGCTCTCAATTTTTTTACTTATTTATATATAATATATAACATCCGAAAACACCTAGATTAATTATTAATAATAGAAGGTATATATTACGATATTTTTAAAAACAATTTTCTATACACTTTCTATAGTACAACAAGGTGGACCCGAATTGATTAAATACAATTTATCCCCTTTAGAATCGTCCGGTGGGGCGCGCCGATGGCCGTACAGCTCGTCGGACTTTTAGTTTTCTGCGGCCATGGCAACACAGTCGTGCCTCAGTCATTTAAAAAACTGTCCAGTCCCGGCGAAAATGTTTATTGCATGTATACACGTTGTCCCGGCCAAGGGAAGATTTTGGAATCACAGAATTCCAAAATAATAAAACAACATTCTGTCAGAAGATGGATTTAGATTGATAATGATGAAAATCAAACGAGAGGGTCATAGGATCTATTCATAGTCTATTTATAGTCTAGTCTATTTATAGTCTAGTCTATCTATACTCAGTCTATTTATAGTATATTTTGTAGTCGGTAGTCTATTTGCCGTCCATTTGTAGTCTATTTATAGTCTATTAGTAGTATAATCTATTTATAGTCATAGTCTATTTATAGTATATTTTGTAGGTAGATTTGTAGTTTATTTGTAGTCTATTTATAGTTTATTTATAGTCCATTTATAGCCTATTCATGGTCTATTTATAGTCCACTTCTACAGTTTATTGATAGTCCATTTAGAGTCCGTTTTTAGTCTATTTAGATTTCATTTATAATTCATTTATCATCTATTTAGGGTCTGTTTATAAGCTATTTATAGCCTATTTGTAGTCTGCTAGTAGTTTATTGAAATCTGTTAGTAGTTCAATTGTAGTCCATTTCGTCGCTAGAAAGACAAAAAGGCGTAACTCCATTTTCGCTATTTTATAGGAGACGCAATTAAACTTTTGGTGAAGAGTACTTTGATTATGCATCAGTCAAATACATTATTTGTCATATCATGTTAAATATGAGGATACATACGCCTATTTGTCACAAAATAGATTCGTGGTGGTCTTAAGTCAAATTAAGCATTTTTTGAATTACTTCACTTTGCCTTTCCAGTATCGATTTATAGTCCAATTATATTTCATTTATAGTTTACAGTCCATGTATAGTCCATTTATACTCTATTTATAGTCCATTCATAACCCATCTATAGCCGATTTATAGTCCCTTTGTAGTCCTTTTCTAGTCTATTTATGGTCTATTCCATTTGTAGCCTGTTTATAGCCCATTTTTTAGGATAATAAAACTTTAAACTTTAGAAAATATTAAAGAAAATATTTTGTGATTAAAAAACTAAAAATATTCTTGACATAGCCCCACAGAAAACAATCAAAAGTAAATTTGAAGAATATGGTAGCGTTGTTCAAGCGTAAATCTATTCGTAATGATTGGCCAAAGTATACTGAAAAATTTTTTTTATAAACGTCGTCAGATTGACAGTTCAGACTGACAGTTGTCAGTTCTATCAAACCTAAAAAACACTATTTTTAAGATCATGTATAGTCCATGTATATTCTAGTCTATTTATAGTCTATTTATAGTCTAGTCTATTTATAGTCTATTTATAGTCTATTTATAGTCTATTTATAGTCTATTTATAGTCTATTTATAGTATATTTAGTCTATTTATAGTCTATTTATAGTCTATTTATAGTCTATTTATAGTCTATTTATAGTCTATTTATAGTCTATTTATAGTCTATTTATAGTCTATTTATAGTCTATTTATAGTCTATTTATAGTCTATTTATAGTCTATTTATAGTCTATTTATAGTCTATTTATAGTCTATTTATAGTCTATTTATAGTCTATTTATAGTCTATTTATAGTCTATTTATAGTCTATTTATAGTCTATTTATAGTCTATTTATAGTCTATTTATAGTCTATTTATAGTCTATTTATAGTCTATTTATAGTCTATTTATAGTCTATTTATAGTCTATTTATAGTCTATTTATAGTATATTTATGGTCTATTTATGGTCTATTTATAGTCTATTTATAGTCTATTTATAGTCTATTTATAGTCTATTTATAGTCTATTTATAGTCTATTTATAGTCTATTTATAGTCTATTTATAGTCTATTTATAGTCTATTTATAGTCTATTTATAGTCTATTTTTAGTCTATTTATAGTCTATTTATAGTCTATTTATAGTCTATTTATAGTCTATTTATAGTCTATTTATAGTCTATTTATAGTCTATTTATAGTCTATTTATAGTCTATTTATAGTCTATTTATAGTCTATTTATAGTCTATTTATAGTCTATTTATAGTATATTTATAGTCTATTTATAGTCTATTTATAGTCTATTTATAGTCTATTTATAGTCTATTTATAGTCTATTTATAGTCTATTTATAGTCTATTTATAGTCTATTTATAGTCTATTTATAGTCTATTTATAGTCTATTTATAGTCTATTTATAGTCTATTTATAGTCTATTTATAGTCTATTTATAGTCTATTTATAGTCTATTTATAGTCTATTTATAGTCTATTTATATCCTATTTATAGACTAGTCTATTTTTAGTCTTATTACAGTCTATTTATAGTCTATTTGTACTTTATTTATAGTCCATTTATAGTCTATCTATGGTGTATTCATAGTGTGTTTATAGTCTCAGCATAATTATAGTCTATTTGTTGTATATTTGTAGTCCATTTATAGCCCCTTAATTGTCCACTAATAGTCCAGTAATAGTAAAGTAATAGTCCATTAATAATCATAAATAATCCATTAATAGTCATAAATAGTCTAGTTATAGTCTATTTATAGTCCATTTAGAGTCTATTTATAGATTAGAGTCTATGTTTAGTCTTAATATAGTCTATTTACAATCGATTTATGGTCTATTTGTAGTCCATTTAGGGTCTATTTATAGTCAATTTATAGTGTATTTATATTTCGTTTATATTCTCAGTATATTTATAGTCAATTTGTAGTCTATTTGTTATATATTTGTAGTCCATTTAGATCTCCTTAATTGTCCACTAATAGTCCAGTAATAGTAAAGTAATAGTCCATTAATAATCATAAATAATCCATTATTGATCATAAATAGTCCATTAAAAGTTCATTATTAGTCCATTAACAGTCCATTAATAGTCCATTAATAGTCCATTAATAGTCTATTAATAGTCCATTTAAATCTCCTTAATTGTTCACTAATAGTCCAGTAATGGTAAAGTAATAGTCCATTAATAATCATAAATAATTCATTATTGATCATAAATAGTACATTACCGTTCATTATTAATCCATTAACAGTCCATTAATAGTCTGTTAATAGTTCATTTAGAGCCCCTTAATTGTCCACTTATAGTCCAGTAATAGTAAAGTAATAGTCCATTAATAATCATAAATAATCCATTATTGATCATAAATAGTACATTAACGTTCATTATTAGTCCATTAACAGTACATTAATAGTCTATTAATAGTCCATTTAGAGCCCCTTAATTGTCCACTAATGGTCCAGTATTGTACAGTAATAGTACAGTAATAGTCTATTAATAATTATAAATAATCCATTATTTATCATAAATAGTCCATTAAAGTTCATTATTAGTCCATTAACAGTCCATTAATAGTCCATTAATATTCCATTATTGGTATAATAATAGTCTATTTATAGTCCATTTATAGTCGATTTGTAGTTATAGTTCATTGATAATTTTTTAGTCTACTCTTAGTCTAGTCTATTTATAGTCTACATATAGTCCCATTTATAGTCTATATATAGTCCTATTTAATAACTTTATGTTTATTTAATTAGAATTGGGTACACTCAAGAAATAGGCATTTCGAAAAACCGTTCGGCGTACGCCACTGGACGATCGGGGATTAATATATTAAAATTACATTTTTTTTCTACAATCTCAAAGAGGGCTAATTTTTTTTGGTGTTCTTGATCATATGGACCCGGACAAATGTGATAAAAATTGACCCTTATTTTGCCAGTAAATGATATATCTATCCATCACCGCTTCGCAAATTGGCCTCCTCGGCGACCTGATTTACGTCCGCTCGACTTTCTCGGATATGGATCAATAGAGGGATATGTTTTTAAATGTTGATGGAGTGGATGGAAGGATGGAAATAAGGTGAAATTTACACAAGGTTGAATGAATCCAGTTTTGCGAAGCAGTTTTGTGTTAGTATGAAGTCAGACGTGTTAAAATTAATAAAAAAACGGATATTTTTATGATAATGTACAAAAGTTTTTAATCCAAAAAAGTAGAAACAACACTTATATTAAGTATAACTAAAATGAGTATAAAAAAAAGAATGGACATTTATTAAGTATGTCCCTTCAAAAAAGGTAATAAATTAATCACAATAAAATTGTACTTTTTCTAAGCTCAATTTATGGTGTAAATTACATAAATAGAGTATTTTATTACACAAATGACAATAATTTTACTTATTCATAAAAAAGGATAATTTGAACGACACACTAGTTTTCCAGATTTGAATCCAATTGATTTTTTCTATATTTATTTTAAATAAATTGTTTATGTGAGACGTTCAATCAATTATAGAAACTTTAAATAATCCATCCTGTGTAATAAAATCCGCTATTTATTAAAAATATCTTATATTTACATTTTTTCCTTTTTTTATTGCCTATCCAGTAACAACGATACTAATAAATAAAAAAATAAAAAAAATTGGTAACAAAATCACTGATTTCCTAAAAAAAATACTACTGACTACATCATTATCATCAAATCATAAAAAAATCATACACTGTAACATCTAAACGGGAAAATTTCGTTTCCAATAACTCGTTGCTTAATTTCAACGCTCGTGGACAAAATTTTCCCGTTTCAGACGTGTTTTGACTCGCATCATCTCATTCCGAAAGTAACTATATAAATAAATATCACAATTCTTTTACAATACATGCAAGTTCTCGCAGGACTTGGACTTGCTATCTCTGGCCCAGACTTTACCTAAAAGGCTTCTGACCTTTAGACTGGCAGAAGTTCTCGATCCCCTGTATTTCTTCGGCGAATTTTGGACGCTGCCGGTCGGCGTTGCTGCTCCCGAGGCGGGGCTTTTGTTCCTAAGGCAAAAGAAACAAGTTAATTTTATACTTATTTTTAGTTCCTAACTTCAATACAGGGTGTTATTGAAATACACGTACATATTAAAACTGGGTATTGCGCAGATCCCCACTGAATGTAGAAAAATATTATTTTTTAAAAATACCCCTTATTAAGGGAGTTATTAATTTTTGAAAATTAATTCTAAAACAAACGTACTTCACTGATATGTTGAGGATGACCTATATAAATTAGGTTTATTTACCTATTTTAAACATCAACAGTAATTAATATGCAAGTTTTTGTCAGATGATAAGAAAACTAGTCTTGTAAGAAATAACCATGTTGCCAAGATTTTCGAATTAATTTCTATTTCCGAAGACTGGTTTTTACTACCCTCGTTATCAAAAAACTAGAATATTTGATAAATGATTGTTTTTAAACTATACATTTTTGAAACTATAGATTATTAAAATTTTAGTTGATTTACGAATCTGGCTAACACGAGCGCGTCATTTCCAAGTTGGTAAAAAGTGTTGTTACGATTACTTTTAAATATTTTTTTACGATGCCACTATTTACGAATATTGAACTAACGGATATAGTGCTGGTTTATGGGGCAGCTGGAGAAAATTCTCGGCAAGCACAAATCCTGTATCGCGAACGGTTTCCAAATCGGAGAATTCCGGACTGTCGTACGTTTATTTCAACTGTTCAGCATCTAAGAGACCATGGAAAATTTGAGAGTGTCAATGCAGATCGAGGGAGAACAAGAACACAAAGAACATTGGCGGCCGAAGAAGAAATATTGGAAGCTGTTGAAAACGGCCTCAATTAAGTTGTAGAAGACTAGGTCTTGAAATTGGAGTGTCCTCATTTGTTGTGTGGCGGACACTTAAAGAACAAGGTTTACATCCTTATCACATCCAAAAAGTCCAGGCCTTATATCCAGGTGATGAAGAAAAGAGAGTGGAGTTTTGTGAATGGATGATTCAAAAATGTGTTGATATTCCTGATTTTCTAAAAATACTATTGTATACTGACGAGGCTTCATTCACTCGTGATGGCGTGTTCAATATGCACAATACGCATATTTGGAGTGATGAAAATCCTCACGCCATTAGGGAAACTGGGCATCAAAGAAAATTTTCAATAAATGTTTGGGCTGGCATAATAGATCAGTATTTAATCGGGCCTTATGTTCTCCCGAACAGATTAAATGGGCCAGGATATCTCCACTTTTTAGAAGATATTTTGCCAGTACTCCTAGAAGAGATACCGTTACAATTAAGGCAACGGATGTGGTACCTACTAGATGGCGCTCCTCCTCACTTTGATTTAAACGTACGGCAGTTTTTGAACATTAGATTTCCTCAAAAGTGGATAGGCAGAAATGGACCTACTAAGTGGCCTCCGAGATCTCCGGACTTAAATCCATGCGATTTCTTTTTGTGGGGTCACATGAAACAACTGGTTTATAATGAACCTATTAATAGTGTTGAACAATTAACCAATAAAGTTAATGCGGTAGCCGAGGAACTACGACAAAATCCAAGACTAATTTCTAATGTTCAAAGTTCTTTGGAAAGACGATTGCAAGTGTGTGTAAATAATAATGGACGGCATTTTGAACAATTACTGTAATAAACTTTATTTTGAATTAATTGGTTTGGCTACGGCAACAGTGCAATTTCTATGGGTAAGTTCAATTTCGATTTATTTTACTTCTTTAAATATGGAAACTAGTAGGTCGGAAAAGGGGACTCTTCCCCAATATTTAAATTTTAGAATTTGAAGTTAAAATTGGTGCCAATCGTTTTTGGTCATTACATACTATTCCCCATTTTAATATGTACGTGTATTTCAATAACACCCTGTATATTAGAGAAATAGGGCGTTTTTATAAAATCTTTTAAAAATATGCAGATTTTTTCTCGAATAATATCAATTAGTCAGTTTTTTTCATTATTTAAACAGAATTTTATCATTTACGGGATAGTGGAAGATAAAAGCTTGTCCAGGGAAGATCAAATTATTTCCGATAAACATAAAATTAAAAATATTTTAGAGTTTATCGCTCCTGAAGTGGCTACTGCACCAGATTAGGGACGTTTGATGCAACAAAAATCCGTCCAAGACCAATTAAGGTAACCCTAAATAACGAAAACGAAGTTTGCTCGTGTATACGAAACGCGTATAAACTAAAAACTCAAAATACTTTCTCCCGCATCAACATCCCTATGGATCGCACTCCTAAACAAATTGAACATTACATAAAATTGAGGAAAGATATGGAAGAACGTGAAAACCAAGGCGAAATCAACTTAAAAATACTTGTTAAGTCTTCACTTATTTAGTATATGTAAGTTTACATTGAAAATTATCATCCAGTATGAAACGTAATATTTCACATATATACAGGGTGTCCCAACTAAAACTTGTCACCCCCCTAATCTCCGAACTCGTGAAAAAAAATTGAAAATCGCTCAGACCCGTCGATTTTTATTTCAAGGGGGAACACTTTCACCAAATACATCATCATTGTGTTGTCAACCCCCTCATCCCCAGCACCCCCTACTTCAAAATTTTCAATGGGACTACTTACTTGTGATACATCATTTTAAAGGGAATTTAATCCCAAATACATCGGTGTACTGAAATTGAGGATCGATCAAGTGTTGTTGAAGTTTTAATGAAAACTAAGTTTTATCAAGATATTTTTATTTTCCATCACCTAAAATGTGATAATCGTAAGTAGATTCACTGTGGGAACTCCACTGTATTGAATATTAATATGCTTTCAGAAATAATAGATTAAAAGGTAAGACAGAAGTTTTTATGAAAAAAAAAAAAAAAAAAAAAAAAAATTATCGCAATGTGTTTTTGTATACGCATCTTTGTTGAAGCCTTGGTATATTGATGTATTCGATTCACTTCGTTCAACAATTTGAAAACTGTCGAAAATGGTTTATACTATACAAGAGAGGATATCCATTGTAGCTGCGTATTTTGAAAATGGACGATGTGCTAGAGCTACGGCTCGAAGTTTCAATGAAATTCATCCAGAAAAAGCCACCTCATATCAGTACGTGATTCAATTGATGAATAAGTTCCTGGAGTCGGGATCAGTGCTGAATAAAAAACATGAACGAGAGAAGCCTATGAGAAATGAAAGGGTCGCTGTTGCAGTTGTAGGACATGTAGTGATGGACAACATTCAATCTTTAAGACAACTTGAGACTATTTCTGGAGTTTCTAAAAGCAGCGTATATCGAATTCTAAAAGAAGCAAAATTCCATCCTTATCAAATGCAGAATGTACAAGAATTAAATGAAGATGATCCTGACACGTACAGAGTTTTGTGAAATCATGAGTCAATTATTGATTGGTGATAATAATTACCTCTACAATGTGTGCTTTTCTGACAAATCTTTTTATTTAAATGGACATGTGAACAGGCACAACTGCAGATACTACAGGGATACTCATTCACAAATTCCCCAGAAATTGAATGTTTGGGCTGGTATTCTGGGAGATCATATTGTAGGTCCATATTTTATTGATGGTAACCTCAACGGACAAAAGTATCTTGATCTTCCTGATACAACTGTGAACCCCACAATCACTGAATTACTTGAAAACGATGATGGTCTACTTGAAGGTCAGCTCACCTTTCAACAAGATGGAGCTCCTCCACATTTTGTTGCACCTGTACGTCAATTTTTAGATGACAATTTCACAGGGAGATGGATTGGAAGGCGAGGACCAATATAATGGCCGGCTAGATCTCCTGATTTATCACCATTAGACTTTTTTATGGGATCATTTGAAATCCAAAGTTTATATTACACAGCCAAATTCTCTTGATGATCTACGCAGGAGAATTGTTGTAGAGTGTCGTGCAGTGACTCCAGAAATGTTGAGAACTGAACTGAATGGTTCACATTTTGAACCTTTCATATGATGATAACATTTTAGGTGATAAAAAATAAAAATATCTTGATAAAACTTAGTTTTCATTAAAACTTCAACAACACTTGATCGATCCTCAATTTCGGTACACCGATGTATTTGGGATTAAATTCCCTTTAAAATGATGTATCACAAGTAAGTAGTCCCATTGAAAATTTTGAAGTAGGGGGTGCTGGGGATGAGGGGGTTGACAACACAATGATGATGTATTTGGTGAAAGTGTTCCCCCTTGAAATAAAAATCGACGGGTCTGAGCGATTTTCAATTTTTTTCACGAGTTCGGAGATTAGGGGGGTGACAAGTTTTAGCTGGGACACCCTGTATATTATAACTTATACCTCGCCAGGACGGTATTCCCTAATTGGTAAAAGATCACATCCGCGTGGCTAAGAATGACTCTTAAATTCTACTGGGCGAAATCAGTATCGCCGCAAATTTCGTAGAGTACAGTCGTGATTTCAAGCTTGGTGATAATTCCATACAACCCCGAAAATCACATTCCCGAACATATAAATACCAGCCCTGATATAGTCCACGACCCCTGTAGCTTAGGGTAGACGCGCCAAGAAGAGAAGTCTGCGTCAGGAAGCCAAGGAAATTAAAGGTAGGACCTGATTGGCGAAGCTTTAAATTTTCTTTCGCACGTGACATACCGTTAGCTTAATCATAACCTATTCAATACTTTAAAGGTTCTCCAAAGATCGTCGTACAGGAAAACTAAACAAATCCAACAGAAAATCGTATAGCTGTTATCTACAAAATGTGAGAGGTTTAAATACAAAAATAAACGAACTTTACTCTTCAGTTACTCTTGCTGATTTGGATTTCATTGGTTTAATTGAGACTTGGCTAACCGAAAACGTAATGAGCACTGAACTTTTTCCGACAGAATACAACGTTTTTCGTAAAGACCGTGACTTGCTAAGATCTTCGAAATCAAAAGGTGGTGGTGTCTTATTAGCTCACAAAAGCAACTATGAATCAGAAGCTTTGAACCTGAGCAAAATGTTATTTGTCACATAGCACACTTTTCACTTATGTTATTTATATATCGCCATACACCTCTAATCTAGAATATGAGGAGTTTCTAGATGAATTAAGTCAAATTGTAATAAATCAAGAAAAAGTGTTGATATTAGGAGACTTTAATTCTGCCAATTATGTTTCAAAAAACCTATATGATTTTTACTACAGGAATATCTCTATTTTTTTAGATTTTACTAATACCTCCCAAATTAACAATATAAAAAATTCGTTAGAAAAATACTAGATAGTAAATAGGCTATGTTCATTCGGCCTCATTCCTTATGTAAATTAACATGGGAAATCACTAAGGTTCATTCTGCTATTTTTTACGGTGACGTCACGCGTCGAGGATCTTATCAGTAAATAACTTCTCAGGACGCTAGCGGGAAGAGGGGAAGCGAGGGAGTGGGCGGAAGTGGGGGGGGGGAATTAAATCTCTCTTAACGTTGAACAGAAAAATTATGCGAATGCCAAAAGGACCTAAGCGTGTATATTTATTGATATTGGTCCGATTCAAACGGGAAAAACGGCATTACGTAGAGAACGTGGTATAGATTAACGTTGAAAAGAAAAAACATGCGCAGAACGAAAAGTCAGAAGGGCCTTAGCGTGTATCTTTGTTATTACTGGTCAGATTTAAACGGGAAAAACGGTATTACGTAGAGGACGCCGTATAGATTAACATCGACCAGAAAAAACATGCGCAGAACGAAAAGCCAGAAAGGCTTAAACGTGTATCTACATTGCAATTGGTCTGATTCAAACGGGGAAAAACGGCATTATGTAGATAACTCGAAAACGTTGAAGGGAAAAAACATGCGATTGCCAGAAGGGAAGCGTGTTTCTCGGATATTACTTGTCCGATTCAAACGGGAAAAACGGCATAATCTCTACGAGGTAACCTGGAGCAAATAGAATACAATGTCATCAAAATTTTGCTTATCGCACTCAGATCTAAAATTCCTGAAGATCAAAATGCGATAAGAGTTTTAACGACACCAACATATTCTTAAAGACACCAGCAATACATTGCAAGGTGTTTAACGCTAACCAAACTATAAATAAGGTCGATACAGGAAGAGAGATTTAATTAATCGGTTCGATTCATAAATCAAATAAGTCTGCTATAGGTATAAAAATGCACAGAGAACCGTAAATTAATATGAAAACGAGATAAAATTGCACCCTGGATGACAAATGGACTCACTTCAATTAATGAAAAAAATAATTTTTTTCTTAATATTCAAAAATATCCGAACAATTTCGAATTAAAAAGAAATTATAATAATTATAGAAATAAAATTAACACTCTAATTACAAAAACAAAATTTAATTATTAAAGTAAAATTGAAAGTGATAAAACAATTCTGAAAATTTGTGGGACGTAGTACAGGATATAGGTAAAACAAAAAAACAAACGAAAGAAATTGTCAAAATAAAAAACAGTATTGGCGAATTATAAACAAATAAATACGAAATAGCAAAAGAATTTAATAAAGTTTTTGTTGACATGGGGCAGAACCTTGCCAAAAACATAAAAGTGGATCCGACATATAATTACAAAAGAAAATCCGTCCAAAACTCGTCCCAAACTTATTTGTTTTGAGCTCTGTTGATAGAACAGACATTTTTAACGTTATTGGCGAATTAAAAAACAAAAAGGCTGTTGGTAACGGCAATCTAAAAGCTGAAACTATAAAAGTCATCTCATATTACATAGTAGAATCACTATGTTTCTTGATAAACAAATGTATTGACCAAGCAATTTATCCAAGTTCAATAATTATACCAATTCATAAAGGCGATGTTACAGAAATGTCTAATTATCGAATCTTTTAAAAAATATTAAAAAATCGTCTTCAATCTTATTGCAAAAAGTATAAAATAATTTCAGACTGTCAATATGGATTCCGGGAAAAAAAGTACCGAGGATGCCATTTTAAGACTTACACCAAATATCATAGCATCCCTAAATGAGAGTAAACCATGGCTAACTATATTCATTAACTTCGATACCGCCTGCTTTTACAGTCACTGGAAGATATCGGAATACGGGGAAAATGCAAGAAACTCTTTGAAAGTTGTCTGACTGACAGGTCCAGACTGTGAGAGTGTGTAATGTTTGCAGTGGCGCGGAAACCATAAAGTACGGTGTACCTCAAGGGTCCATACTTGGTCCTATGCTATTTAATATGTATATTAAAGAGTTATTTTCTTTAGATGCATGTAGTACTATAATTGGATGCGGATGATACGGCAATATTTTTATAATGCAAATTGCTGGATGGAGGTAAAAGTTAAAGAGGAAAAAGATTTTTGAAATATTAAAAGATATTTCGATGGCAAAATATTAACAGTAAACTTTGAAAAAACAAACTACTACTACAAATTTAGAAAATTAACAAAATTATTACCGCTAAAGTATCTGAAAACACTATATTTTTGATTAGTTGAAAGCCATCTTAGGTATGCCATCGTTATCTGGGGTGCAGCGTTGAATACCCATATACATTTCTTAAAAGTCACTAAAAAAAGCTTTCTAAAGCTAATTTATGCTAAAAATGCCAGATTCTTGATTTAAGACAACTCTATTTTTTAAAATATCATGTAAACAAACAGTATTCCCATCTTCCAAGTCACGACTATGATACACGTCAGAAACATCATTTAGTGTCCCCGCTGATGCTCAAAACAGTTACAAAGAGTTCATATTTATATTTGGCACCCAAATTTTACAATATATCAGAACACATTAAAGACATAAAAAATAAAACCCATTTTAAAGCCAAATTGAAAGAGTTTATGTTTAAAAATGCTCGAAGCCTGATTCAAAATCATTTGGTAAATTAGGAGTTTTAAATTACCACTTCGTTACTTCTAATAATAAAAAAAAAAAAAAATAAAAAAAATTAAATTCAACTGTTCTTTCTGTAATTTTAATTTAGTTTTAGTTATTAGTTAAGCATATCTTTTCTAGTTATTGTTTTATTTCGAAACAAGCGTTCACTCGCTTATCGAGTATTTTATTTATTTATACAATTTTATATATATATATTTTTTTTTAATTTGAACTTTTTTTTATAATATTAGTTAAATATCACAAACAAGCTGCGTTTATATCCTATATTATTATTAATTTAAAAGTAGTTACTCCTTATCTCAAAGTATTTTAAAAACCTACTTAATTCATGAAAAAATCATAAACGTTCCAATTTAAATGTTTGGGCTCGTACCTACCTGTTTAAATTCTTTTTTGAAGTGCTGCGTTTTCTGAATATGTCGCGCGTCCTTTCGGGATTTTCTAGTTTCAACCTGATCTGTGTAAGGATTCCTACTAATAGTTCGTCTACGTTGTGATTGATGCCGACAGATGTCTCTATGTACTTGCAGTCGTAGGAAGTTGCCATTGCTTTACCTTCTGAAATTAAAATGAATATTTTAAATTTGGCATAAAATGGTAAATAGGTAGTTGTAAAAGTATTTAAAATACATGGCGTATACGATTTGTAAAGTAATCTAGTTTATAAATTCTCTATATTTTAAGAGATTTTAACAATTTTTATCAGTAATGTAGTTATTCAAAAAATCATAATTTAATTAGGTATTAATGTTTTATTTGCAACACCATCAAAATTTAAACCTGAAAGCAGTAATGTTCAGTTTTTAAGTAACTGTTTTTTACTGACTGTTATTGAGTTGGGCACAATAGTTCTTGATTTTGATTATACAGTATGTTAACCTTCACCTGGCATGCTCATCATGAGTAACATACCTGGACTCGTGGGATACGTACGAACCACAGTGATAAAAATCTTTGTAAAAATTGAAATATTGATTATTTTGTCTCAAAAAAATTCAGAGATCCTCTTTAGATACCACCTTAAACTGTAAATACTCCGAGTTGAAAAAATAAAGATCAGTGATGCGTTTTTTATTAAAAAAAAAAAAAACTTAACTTTTTTGTTTTTCGATAAAAAGGGCTGAAATTTGAGCTGTGTCTTCTTCTGTTACATCATTATAAAAGAATAATAGTTTTCATGGGTCTTTAAAAAATATTTATTTTGAGAGCGCTATTCCACTGCTCCAGGTATAAAAGTATATCCTTGACTACCGATAGATGTCGTTACGAGTTTCAATTTTGAAGATTTAGATACCGAAAATCGACGAAGAGCGTAGGGTATACGTATCTCACGAGACCAGGTGAAGGTTAACTTAGGAATCCGAAGAGATAAAGAGGAGACGCTTAATTATATTTGGATGTATGTAAAATAAAGAAAAAAACTTGTTTATTTCTCTCTATTCAATGCTATTGTTTTTCTAGACCGTTCTCCAATGTTCAGTATTCTTAACTTAAAGTACTGTACATAGGTATAAATGGATTGTGGAGTGTGGTATGTTAACCTTCACCTGGCATGCTCATCATGAGTAACATACCTGGACTCGTGGGATACGTACGAACCACAGTGATAAAAATCTTTGTAAAAATTGAAATATTGATTATTTTGTCTCAAAAAAATTCAGAGATCCTCTTTAGATACCACCTTAAACTGTAAATACTCCGAGTTGAAAAAATAAAGATCAGTGATGCGTTTTTTATTAAAAAAAAAAAACTTAACTTTTTTGTTTTTCGATAAAAAGGGCTGAAATTTGAGCTGTGTCTTCTTCTGTTACATCATTATAAAAGAATAATAGTTTTCATGGGTCTTTAAAAAATATTTATTTTGAGAGCGCTATTCCACTGCTCCAGGTATAAAAGTATATCCTTGACTACCGATAGATGTCGTTACGAGTTTCAATTTTGAAGATTTAGATACCGAAAATCGACGAAGAGCGTAGGGTATACGTATCTCACGAGACCAGGTGAAGGTTAACTTAGGAATCCGAAGAGATAAAGAGGAGACGCTTAATTATATTTGGATGTATGTAAAATAAAGAAAAAAACTTGTTTATTTCTCTCTATTCAATGCTATTGTTTTTCTAGACCGTTCTCCAATGTTCAGTATTCTTAACTTAAAGTACTGTACATAGGTATAAATGGATTGTGGAGTGTGGTATAGGCATAGTACATACACAAGACTAGTAGAATCACTAGGGCAGAAACAGACACTAATACCTTCTCTACATCGTCTAAAAACCAACATGTTTCAAGCAGGCGATGTTAGCTCTGTCACTATTCATATAGTTCATTAGAAAGACGCTCAGAGCTAATTTTCCAATAGTTCTTCGGCAAAAAAATGTTCAACGAAGAACAAATGCCTCAATCAGAGTGACCTTACTATTTATTTTATAAAAGATGGTACAGTAAGTGCCACACATCTGAAGAAATGTTGTTAACTCGAAAATGCCGAAAGTGAAGTCATCTTGTTCTTGCAAACGTTTATTTAAAAATTAACGTGATATCTAGCGCAGCGTCTGATAAATGTTTTTGCGCATTTTGTTCAGAATTTTAAAATCAGAAACCTATAGTTTTAAAAGCACCTTTTTAATAATAATGTTACGGGCCACAAAAAAACCTTGAAGGGCCGCATGCGGCCCGCGGGCCGTAGGTTGGTATGGCTGGTCTAGATGGTAGTCGGTCTATTGCAAGTTCTGGTAAATACGCGAAGAAATACCATATACACATGATGTCATATTAAAAACAGAACATAGAAACACGATAGAAAACAAAGTTTGAGTAAAATGTTACTCGTTTCCTAAACAGAATGTTAAAGTTTCAAAATTTCTAATTTATTAATGGCTATAATTTTTTTAATTACTATTTATAATTTTACTAAATTCGGCAATTGTTTTTGATGTCATAAGATACACCTATCAGCAAAAAATCAGCTAAATATACTTTGCTAGTGGCACACGCCTTGGTTAAACACATTCCCTTTTAAATTTTACGTCAGTGTCCAAGAACTTATTTGGTTTATCAATCACTTTACGAGTTCCTAACAAGGACACATGATTTATTTAAAAATCATTAAAAAAAATAAAATTATTGTCTAAACAAGTTTTTAGACAGTGGCGTAAAATTTAGAGGGGATGAAAGTATTATTTATCCATTCCGCATGCCGTATGTAACTGATTTTTTTTTTGCTAATAGGTATCTTATGACACCAATAATAACTAATTATACTAAGAAATAAAAAAAATATAGTAGTCATTCATCATATTTGAAATGTCGGAAACGAGTAACATTTTACTCACATGTTTCATTTAATCGTCTTATTTTTAACAAAGCATCTTCAGTTGTTTTGTGGGCTATTCTTAATGAGACATCCTGTATATATAAATAGGCTGTTTTGCTGTTAAAGTAGTCAGTTTAAGTCAAGATATTATTGTGTTAAGATACATGTTGTCAAAGTAAATTAGTAAATAAGTATTTGAGATAAATTGGTGATGTATTAAATGAATATATTGTAAATAAATTAAATAAAAAACTGTTTAAAATAAATAAAGGTTGCATTAATATTATGTAATCACATCTTCTTTGATTCATACCCATTTAACGTAGACAATAAGTGACTCTTCTAAAATAAAAAATTTATATTTTTTTGGTGATTATCATCAAAAGGTTGCGCCCGATTTTAATGAAACAATTCATCTTAATTACAGTCCATTTTTCGTAGAATCCGACGATGCGCCTCGTTTCGAACAATTAACAATTTATAAATCGACTAGCCCGCCTTCAATTTTTCATTCATTATCAGCGTTTTCCGCGACTGTAACCGCAGAACGTCGGAGAAAATTCCGCGAGATTGGTTTTTGGTCCCCGGATCCCCGAAATGTTGAGTAATCCGACTTTAATTACAATCAATAAGAGCCAAATTTTGAAACGGTAGACTAAAGGCATTACGGTAACGATTTTGTGATATTAAAATACGAGTATTAGTACATCATCAGATTCTACAACAAAATTACACTCCATTTAAAAAGTTTCTCTACTAATATACAGAGTGAAACAAAAGCTTAATTTTCTTTGAATTTGTTCTAGTTTGAAAATAGCTGTGTCAATTTTTGTGTTTTCTGTACTCAGATAATTGCACTGTATGTTAGTATTAGGAGAGATTAAAAAAGAATTGGGCAGTAGAAGAACCGACAATTGGAACAATCTCTTGGGGCTGAGACAGGTCAAGATACTTATGAATGAATATAACCAGAAAAGATCGGAAGCCTGCATCTGGCTGAGCAAGAACAGGCTACGTATTGTAACAGGGATCCTTACACGGCATTGTCGACTAAAAGGACACTTAAGTAAACTGAGAGTAGTAAAGGATAATGAGTGCAGATTTTGTGAGGAGGAGGACGAAACCTCCATTCACATCCTAACTGAATGTGTAGCACTCCAAAATCCAAGGGCACTATATCTAGGAGGATATCAAATAGAAGAGGGAGATTTACCTAACTTAAAGTCAATTCAAATCCTACACTTCCTTGATAAAATAGGATTGGAAGGGTCGTTATAGGCATTGAGACATTTCCTTGGTGCATTGGCGACAGAAGGAGGCACAATAGATCTTTTAGGTCTCAGTGTATTAACACCCCATTCCCAACATAACATAACATACTTTTACTCTTGTGAGATCCTAAGAACCACCCTCGTTTGATTTACCTTTTTTGAACTTATAACTCACACATGGCTACCACCTTCAACTTTATTCAACTTTAACATAACATAGTTTAGGTATGCCTGAAGGTTTAACAGCATTGTTCATAAAATTTTGAAACATGAACCTTTAATGTAAGTTATCTATATCAATATCGTCAGTTGGCAAACAGTCGTATTATTCCGGGAACGCCTAATTATTTTCGGGAACGTTACTAAAATTGCGTAAAACACAGAATATTTTAGAAATCTTTACTAAAAAGACCGTGATTTTATCAAAAATCTTAATTTTGTAAATATTAAGTTATTTTCGTTAAACAAAATATTGATATTTTAATATTTCTTAAGTTGCACATATAAAAAAGTTACTTATCTTCGTTTTTTGATGTATTTTTCAATTCCAGCAACATAAAAGAAATTAAGAAACACAACTCAAAATTGATTTTCAAAAATTATACGAGGATGTATCAGAAAATAACGAGACTGGTGCTATAGTATAACAACGAAACATTTATTTAAAAAAATTCAACAACTATCCTTCGAAGTACTCTCCATTCTGTTGAATACACTTATTCCATCGCTTTATCCACTTATCATAAACTTCTGAGAAACCATTTTTTAATAGTCTGTTTAGTATACCCATCACAGCGTTGTTGAGCTCTAAATCCGACTCAAATCTTCTACCTCTCAATTCTTTTTTGACTTCAGGAAACAAATGGAAGTCACATGGAGCCAGGTCAGGAGAGTAGGGGGAATGAACCATAATTTAAACCCCTAATTCTTCAATTGTTCGTTGACAAATCATTGATCTATGAGCCGGGCCATTG